GAGGCGGCCGAAGAAGCCCTGCCTCTTGACGGGCGTTGACACGGTCGTGTTGTCGCTACGCCGAGCGGGACTGCGGGGGTGGTGGCTGCAACTGGTGTCGACATTTTGTGGAGTGTTGGTAGTGGGTGGCGGATAGGGTGGAGTGGGGCTGGGTTTGGGTGTGTTGGGCTGAGATGAACTGGTGTAAGTGAGTGAGGCCTCTTTTTAAGGGGAATGGGATCAATCTGGAATTGGGTGGGTTATCAAGAACAGAGAAATTCAGCAGGAATTTGTGTTCACACTGTCCTCGTGGTCACATGAGTTCCTGTCAGAATTCCTGCCATTGATCCCCTGGCACAGCGCTGCACTCCAGGAGCCGGCAGGGCGCCGTGAAATTGTCGCCTTCCTTGCTGTTTGCTTCCCTCAATTACAGAGGGGTTGTACAAGTCCGCAAGGTTGGCTGCTGTTGCCTAGGTGGTTAGAGGAGACCAGCCGGGCACCTGCACCATCATGTTGTAGTGGTTATCATGCAGGAGCTCTGTAAGCCAGCATTCACCCTTCGGCAAGACGCATTGCCATCCCTTTTCTGCACAACTCTACAACTTCGTCATCTTCCACGGACGCCAACTGGCGCCTGTTTTAGTGGGCTGGCATGCGTGGCCGCGGTGAGTTCACGCAGCTCCTCTTCGAGGAGGTACCAAGAGCGTGTGTGGTCGCTTGTAAGCCCCAAAGACTTATGAAGCAAAATAAATCGCTGCTATCAAACATGTGAATAATAAACGACAGCTATCTATCGTGGATCTTTATGTTGGACGACAGACAGGATACTTAGAAGAGGGCGGAGAAGAGGAAGAGGGGAGCGAGGCTCGAGGCGGCGGAGGTGTCGAGGTAGAACTCGTCCACGATGGCGCCGTTGGTGTTGCCCACGAGGATGGGCGTCGGCGAGGGCACGCTCACGCTCTCGTCTCCGGCCAGCGCATTGGCGTTGTTGGCCGTGGTGACGGTCTGGGCGAAGGCGAGCGAGAGGCCGAGGAGGAAGAAGGCGATGGCGACGATCTGCTTGTTCATCTTGTTAAAGTTGGTGTTGGAGTAGGTTGTTGGTGGGAGTATGCTAGATGAGAAGCAAACTCAACTTGTTTCCGCTTTTGTAGTGACCGCAAGCAACTGGGATGCGGGCTGATTCCTGGCGGAGCGCCGGAAATCCTGGCGAGATATCACACCCAACACTCTTGATATTCTCCGTGGCAAGCGCTGGTCAACAAGCGCAAGCGTTGGCCATCGACGAAGTTGCGCCAAGTCAGATCACCACCACTCCAAATTTGACAGCCAACAGACGGAAAAAAAGTCTAAGGTCGGGATGGCCGCGGGAAGCGTGTGTCGGGCATCGCACCCTCCTCGCCCAGCTCTTCCCACACCCCTGTCCCACCGGTCATCCACGAGCGCCGGCGGAAGTGTGCCCCCCAGTCTCCACGAGGAGGTCGAACACATCGGCCTCACCAGTCTTGGCCGAGCACTCACTGAACAAAGCTCCCCATTCCTCCGCCAGTCACTGCGTGGGCAGCCACGCTCGCGCTCACCACCGGCAAGTTTATGGCCGCGGCGTATCTGTGCCTCCAGTGCGGCGAAGCTCGCTCTGTTGCCGACGCTGTAGACCACCACAATGCCGCGGGCATCGCCGCACCAAAACGTGATCACTTTCTGTGCCGCACAACACAACGCACAGGCGGCTCACGCTCAACTTGAGCGCTCTCTCTTCCGGTGGCAAGGGCACCAGTCTGGCCATAGACGCTGGTGTATTATCACAACACGCTTGATTTTATTTTTCACTTCATGCTGGTCAATTTTTTTCTGAGAGGCACACGGGGATTTTTGGAACGTGATTGACAGCTTATCCTCGAGGCTAATATCCGACATCATACCTGGTTGGTCGACCCTGAACGAATGGGCAGCCTGCGATCCGTTGCGCAAGTGCGGCTATTGGTCAGCCAACGGTAGCGGCAATATCGGCAACACAACAAAACCAACTTCACTCCGCTCCGGAGACCTTTGCTCCTCTTCACCAGCTCCAGAAGATGAAGCTAATCCTCTGCCTGCTGACACTGTCCCTCATCGGTACCTCACTTTTTCCTAAGAAAGCCTGCTTTCAACATATATAGACGACTCCCAACTCATGTATGTACATATATATATTACCCGTTGATCGCAGGCGTGATGGGCCAGCAGTACTTTGGTGTGAACGAGCCGGCCCTTGGCTTTTCGGCCGACAAGATTCCCGGCCAGCTGTGGTTCGACTTCCCGCTCATTCCGAACGAGTCCATCGACTACTTCGCCGCCAAGGGCATGAACACCATCCGCGTGGGCCTCATCTGGGAGCGAGCCCAGCCCACCCTCTTCGGCGCCCTTGACTCCACCTACATCCAATACCTGGTACTCCTCCACCGTTTTATTTGATGTATCTGATTGTATCTTAATTTCGGCTATTGCATGTTCATTGTTTCCGCAACATACTAAAAAAATGCAAACAAAAACAAACAGACGGACAGTGTAAACTACGTGACCAACACGAAGGGCATGTACTGTCTGCTGGACCTGCACAACTACCACCGCTATCGCGACCAGGTGATCGGCTCGACCGCCGTGCCCTACACGGCGCTCACCGACGTGTGGCAGCGCCTGGCCACGCTCTACAAGGACAACCCGCGCATGATATGGGGCACCATGAACGAGCCCTACGGTATCACCTACCTCGCCGCCAAGCTCGGCGCCAACGCCGCCATCAAGGGCATCCGTGACGCCGGCGCCACTGTACGTCCCAACTATCCCTGTGCGGTGGTGAGTGTGCGTGTGGTCGCACACCATCAGGCTGACCACACAACATCAAAACAGCAACTGATCACGATCAGCGGCAATGACTACTCGAGCGTGTCCGGGTGGGTGGGCACCAACAGCGTGTGGATGGGTCCCTCCAACATCACCGATCCGCTCAACAACTGGTATGGATAGAGTGAAGATGAGATATAGAAGTTCTCATATCATTTTACTGATCAAGATGCCAATCAGGATGTACGAGATGCATCAGTACTTTGACAACCAGGGCGGCAGCACCGTCTGCGTGCCCACCTGGGACGTCGAGGGCAACTTTGCCGCTACCACCACCTGGGCTCGTAATAATGGAGTGTACGTTCTCCTCGTTCTGCTCTGAATCAGACTTCTGTTCCTCACCCATGTGTGCTTCTCATCACGCAGTAAGATCTTCCTGGGCGAGTTCGGCCTCAACGACTCAGACCAGTGCATCGCCCTTCTCAACCGCATCATGACATTCCTTAAGGTGCCTCTTGAAATATTGTATTCACATTCTTGGAATTCCTGCTGATATACAGCAAACACTTGCGACCAGGCCAACAAAGATGTGTGGAACGGGTGGACCTGGTGGTCGGCCGGCCCGTGGTGGCCCGAGGACTACGTGAACCTCATCGAACCCATGACCGACGGCACTGACCGCAACCGCATCATGGGCATCCTCCAGGGCTACTTCCCCGCGGCGACCACGCCGAGCCCGACCAGCACCCGCACGCCGACGCCGTCGACCAGCCGCAGCCCGAGCCGCACGCCGACGCCGTCGACCACCCGCAGCCCGAGCCGTACGCCGACGCCGTCGACCACCCGCAGCCCGAGCCGTACGCCGACTCCCTCGACCAGCCGCGTGCCGAGCAGCGCCACGCCGTCAGTCAGCCGTGCTGCGAGCCCGTCGGCCTCCCGCGCTCCCGTCGTGACGGGCCGTCCGCAGTACTTTGGAGTGAACGAGGCCGCTTTGGGCCTCACGCCCGACGTCCTGCCCGGCCAAGCGTGGGTCAACTACCCGCTCATCAGCGAGGCCTCGCTGGACTACTTCGCGTCCAAGCGCATGAACACCATCCGCGTGCCCATCACCTGGGAACGCCTTCAGCCCACCCTCAACGGCGCCCTCGACACCACCTACCTCGGCTACCTCGTACGTGTCATCGTTGTGCGTGTGCGTGTGCGGTGGTGCATGTGCGTGTGCGGTGGTGCATGTGCGTTTGCTTGTGCGGTGGTTGTGCGGTAGCCTGATGATGTGCTATATTTGTTGCAGACGTCGAGTGTGAACTACATCACGAACACGAAGGGCATGTACTGCGTGATCGACATCCACAACTACCACCGCTATCGGGGCCAGCTGCTCGGCTCGGCGGCCGTGCCGTACAACACCATCACCAACCTGTGGTACCGCCTGGCCGGCCTCTTCAAGACCAACCCTCGCGTAATCTTCGGCACCATGAACCAGCCCTACGGCGTGTCCTACCTGGACGCCCTGCTGGGCGCCAACGCCGCCATCGCCGGCGTCCGCGGTGCCGGCGCCACTGTACACCTCCCCTCTCTTTACTCAGCACATCAGAACACTTGCTAACCGCACTCGCACATGACAGCAACCCGTCACGATCAGTGGCAGCGACTACTCGGCGGTGAGCTCGTGGGTGGGCACCAACAGTCTGTGGCTGGGTCCGGGCAACATCACCGACCCGCTCAACAACTTCATGTACGCCAAGCCGCATCATTACCAACTCGCCGCCTACATGAAGTTTAACCTTTCACCTACATCCAGGTACGAGATGCACCAGTTCTTCGACGGCCAGGGCGGCACCACCGTGTGCCAGCCGGACATCAACGTCGACGCCCTGTTCGGCGGCGTGACCCAATGGGCGCGCTCGCTCGGCGTGTACGCCCCCTCACACCACCACATCATTGTACATAGTGTTAGTTGTCTCATGCAACTGTGTGCAGTAAGGTGTTCTTGGGTTCGTTCGGCATCAACGACTCGGATCAATGCCTGCCGCTGCTCAACCGGCTCATGACTTACATCAATGTACGTGGACGACGATAGTCGCCTTGTGCGTGTAGCCCAGATCTTGATACTCACTCCTTTACCTTCATGTGCGACAGGCCAACAAGGACGTGTGGAACGGCTGGACCTGGTGGGCGGCTGGTCCCTGGTGGGGCAACTACATCTACCTCCTCGAACCCAACTCCGATGGGACCGACCCCAACCGCCTCATGGCCAACCTCCAGAACTACTTCTGATGACCTTCTTTCGGCATGAACAACATTGAATAACAATTTTGAATATGTTGAGTATCCAGGTTGGCATTCCTCCGTTGTGTTTTTTTCGTGGTGGTGCTGGTGTGTGGGAAGAGCTGGGCGAGGAGGACCTCGCTGAGCACGTGTGCCAGCGTTGCCATGTGCGCCATCTAGTTGTACCTGAGGCCTTGAGCTCAGTCACAGCACATCTGGCCAAGGCCAAGTCAATCTTGTTGCCCACCAGCACCACATACCTTCCTGAGCGGGTGGCATTATACCTTTTAATTGAGACACATGGCCCAAGGTGTGCATGCTATCAATCAGCACCATGTATCCGTCAGACTCACCAACATCCTCTACATTCCAGTTGCATAAGAACCTCGTCTCACCCAACTGCACTTTGCTGGGTTAAGGCTCTCTTGGTCTCCTGCACCAAGACTCTATAGTGACAATCAGTGTGCAATAACCCTGGCCTGCATTCCATCCACACACCAAGCATTTCAAAGTTAAGGCCACTTGTGCAAGACCACCCCCAGCAGCATAGCCAATGGCATCTACTGCCCAACCCAGCAGATGATCACCAACCTGCTGACAAAGGCACAGTGATCATCAACTGACCAACTCCCAGCAACCAAAAACAGACAGAAACACACAAACACACAAACACATCTTCTGTCACAAATACATCTCTCTTCACACAGCCACCACCGCCTGCAACAGTTTGACGTCTCTGTTGAGCTGGAGAGTAAAATCACTACTGGAGGGCACATCTTTGTGTCTGCTGGGCGCTGGCTCCTGCGGTGGTGCTGGTGGCTGGGTCTGGAAAGAGCTGGGCGAGGAGGGCCTCGCTGGGCACGTGTGCCGGAGTGGCCATGTGCGCCACGCGCTGCCAGCCGCGCATGAGGCAATCCACAAGGAGGTCGAACGCCTCGGCCACGCCCTCGCCCGTCTTGGCCGAGCACTCGCAGAACAACACACCCAACTCCTCCGCCTTCTGCCTGCCATTGCGCATACCATGTGCCCAAACCACAAGCAAGTTCACTTCTTAGTGAAGGAAATCAGAACAAACAAGCAAATAAATGACAAGAGAACTTTCAGGACTTTACCTGGCCTCGAGCTCGGTCACGGCGCGCTTCGTCGAGGCCAGGTCGGTCTTGTTGCCCACCAGTATCGCATGTGTATCATCCGGCGCGTACCTGCGGCGGTGGCCATGCATGGCGATATGAGCCTGAGGATATGGATCAAGGTGTCATTGTACCTGGCTAGTTCTGCCATCCACATCGTGACATTGTCGAAGCTCGGCCTGTCGGCGATGTCGTAGACCACCACTGCACCGTGCGCCTGGCGGAAGTACATCGGCGGCGTCGCTCTGAATCGATCGGATCCGCCTGTGTCCCACAATTGCACCTGGACATTCCAACGTGTAAGACAACATGCCATCAACTCGCGCCATTCCACGTCCATTTAAATGGAGCATCGCTACCCACCTGGATATGAAGGTCATGCCACTTCACACAGCGGCACTCTAATGTCGCGCCGATGGTGGGGGTATGATCAGTATAACGGTCACCAACATAACGGCGCAGGAATGCCGTTTTTCCTACCCCGCTGTTGTGTGGCGTGTGGCGTGCGACGTGCGTCAGAGATGTTGTCCAGGAGGAGGTGGAAAAGCAACGTAGGCCGTACCACTCGCCCAGCATGATCACTCTAGCCGAGTAGTCGTACTGGCTATCCGCTCCCATGGCGGGTGGGAGAGAAGGCGCTCTGTCGCGTCTCCCCTGTCTGTGAACACCAACAGACATGGGTGTGAGGTAAGCGCGTGAGTGTCGGTTGGTTGATTGGCGTACTACTTTCTGCAACATGTTAGAACGTGCCTGAACTGTGAGACGGCGGCGCGCAGCCACCGCATGTAGGCGCCCTTCCATCCGCCCCTGATTCGTGTTGTGTTTCGACATGTCAACGGTCATGTCGTGTGGTGTGCGAAAAAGAAAGAGCCAACCAACCTGATGGCGGGGTGGTCGGCCCACGATGGGTGGCCAAGCGGCCTCCACAGGACGTCGTCCCGGCTCACCGCCGCCAACGCTCGGCTTGCCTGTTTTCTTTAGTTTGGCCATACGTTTGGTATCACCTCCCGTTGTCAATGGTGCGTCGAGTACCAAGGAGATGGAGCAGAGGTCGCGCGCGTTGGCCACGAACGACAGCATGTGCACCACCACTTCCTGTCAAGCAGCAGCCAGTGTTGTCAATATTTGCACTTTTTGGCTCTTCGACATGGCAATCAAGGAGTGGGGCACGCACCGGAGGCAGACTCCAGAGACCCGCCTGTTGTTCGTCCCCCGTCCTGGCCATCAAACATTAACACCCACTTCATAGTGGAATTCAAAAAAATGGGGGGGTGCACCAGCCAAGGTGTAAGTGGGGTGGGCTATTGCCCCAAAGCTGCCTTACACGCTGCACCCCAGCAGCCACCGCCCTCAGCAAAGTCGAAGGGGGCCTTCTTCCTCCTGCTCCATGCAGCCCTTCGCTTTCTTTTTTGGCTCTCTTTTTTAATTTACTATTTTGATAATTAAACTGCGCATTTTCATTGGCCGGGTGAAATGGGTTGGGGTGGGGTCCTGCGCCGCAACAGACTCTCCGAACAAGAGTCTTAACTACGATTGTCGCTCTCACTACTGTATTACAAGATCTTTGTTGTTAGTTACTACAAAGACATGTGCCACCATGCGCTTGACACGAGGCTCGCTCCGCCGGACGTGTCTGTCTCTTCCACCTCGAGCACCAACACGTGGTCAGGCACCATGAGCGAGATGCGGCTCTCGTGGGTGAAGGTCGACCGGCCGTCGACCGAGTAGGCGCCGCTCAGGCCCGGTCCGTCGTGGGGCGCATACACGCGCACGGTGTAGCGGTCCGGCGGCAGGCTCAGCACGGTGGGCATGCGCGGGGGGTAGATCTGTCGGTGCGGCTGAGTCTTGGTGTCTTCATCAGAGATCTCGTGCCACAGAAGAAGAAGGAGCAGGCCATCGGGCTTCTGGAGCAGGAGGTGGTGCACGTAGTCGGTCCGGTCCCAGCTGCCGACGGCGCTGACGTTGAGGCTGAAGTCGAGCGAGCCCAGCTCGTAGGTAGGGGGCCGCAGCTGACCGGCAGAGGGCGCCCACGCGCTGCGGAGGAGGGTCATCATGTTCTTCAGGGCCGTGTAGCTGGGCTTGGCCGAGTAGTTGGAGTAGAGGAGGCCGAAGTTGGACTCGTGGGCGGTCGGTTGGTCGTGCTGGTCCACCAGCTCGTAGACGCAGGTGCGTCGGATGCCCAGGCGGAAGTACTCGGTGAAGATGCGGTTGGTGTAGAGGCCTTGGGCGCGGATCGAGGTGCCCATGCCGCCCTGCTCGGTCGAGTAGCCGGTCTCCGTGGCGAACCAGGGCCGATTGGGGTAGTAGGCCTTGGCCTGATTCCAGTTGGTGGGGAACTGGTCCAAGTTGGTCGATGGCTGATCGATGGAGGGGGATAAGAAGGGTAATCGACTGACATTCTGTACATAAATGCAGAAGTATGTGGAATATGGTACCTGGTTGCTGTTGTAGAAGTAGCGGGTGATGTTGCCATAGGACTGGAAGGTATCTGTGAGCCAGTTGCCGTTGAAGGGGTAGGGGTGCATGTCACCAAAGTCGACCCACTGGCTGCAGCAGTTGGCCGGCAGGACGGCCCAGATCGCCAGCGGCGCGCCGATGATCCACCTGTCCTTGAAGAAGGAGTCCTGGCGCAGGAGCGTGTACATGTCCCTCATGTACTCCATCGTCCCGTTAGGGAAGCCCTTGCCATTGTAGGTCTGGCGTTGATGTCAGGTTAGCCAATGCCTGACAATGCAACCCCAAGAATGTGTGGAATGTCATCATTTGGACAACGTACGATGTTCTTCTGAGGCCACGTGCCATCGGGCTCGTTAATGCCCATGATGGCGTCGACCAGCAGTCCGTCGTTGATGGCCGTTTTGATCTTTTGGACCACCTGGCGGGTGCTGTTGATGTTGCTGTCCGTGTTCCACGCCAGTTCGAAGACGCCGTAGTTCATCTTGATGCCCTTGGCCGCGAGCTGGAGCGCCACGCCGGGCGAGTCGTCGCGCACGTTGTGGATGCCGGCGTCGGCCAGCAGCTGGATCAGTTGGGTCTGGTTCGTCGTGTAGGCGGTGCCAGCAAAGCGGAAGTGGGTGTTGACGCAGACGCTGTCGACAAACAGGTCGGCGGACTGCGCCTTCTGTACGAGCGCCCCGCAGCGTGGGGAGATGAAGAAGACGAAGCACAACGCAGCGACAAGGCAGCCCCTCTTCGAGAGCTGCGGCATGTTGTGATGGTGCGGCTAGCAACTAAATCAATTTCTTTCCCGATCATTTATTGGCCCCCGTAGCTCCAGTGAGAAGATCGGAATGTGTGTTATTCGCCACATGGCGCTGATTGGGCAATTGGGGCACCAACCTCGGGGGAGGGGTTGAGCGCAAAAAACAGTACGTAGTTGTTCACCTCTTCGAAGGTCGGCGATGTAGTCGACCAGCGCTGCAAGTCAGCAGCCACAGCCCCAGGACCCCCACTCCGCCACGGTGTCTCCTTTGCTCTTTGTGAATTTTCAAGCTTCAGGCCCGGTACCGCAGACCCCTGCGTTTTGCGTTTCGGCATGGTAGGCATGAAGGCAACATGGAAATTTAGGTGTGAGGTTTCACCAGTATATCCAGATCTTGTACCAGGTTTGGCTCGCTTTCACGTTCCTGGCCCTGCAATAAAAGCCTCAGCGTGGCTTCACTTTGAGTTCACACTACAATCGCATTATTCAACAAACTTCACACCAACACCAACTTTAACAAGATGAACAAGCAGATCGTCGCCATCGCCTTCTTCCTCCTCGGCCTCTGGCTCGCCTTCGCCCAGACCGTCACCACGGCCAACAACGTCAATGCGCTGGCCGGAGACGAGAGCGTGAGCGTGCCCTCGCCGACGCCCATCCTCGTGGGCAACACCAACGGCGCCAACGTGGACGAGTTCTACCTCGACACCTCCGCCGCCTCGAGCCTCGCTCCCCTCTTCCTCTTCTCCGCCCTCTTCTAAACATGAAGGCAAACCTTGTGTCCTCCGCTCTTTGAAACAAATGAACAGCGCCTAATTAAATTCCTTCTTTGGTGGTACCCAACTTTGTTCGCCAGCGATCAAGAGTGAAGAAGGGGAATGGCATCGCCTGGTCATTTTAACTAAGAGTCCTTCTCATGTAAATGAAAAGCATCACACAGTCCTTGTTCGCGCCCCGGTTTCCGTCGATCCACCGTTGATGGTTTCCGCGTACTTCACCTCTCCAGAACCAGTTCTTCGCCGCACCCTAAACTACGGCAAGTGCGGGACCACACCACTACACGAGGAGTTCTGGGGTACTGTTTGGGGTAGGTTCTTTCGCGAGCGACCTCAGAGGCTGGATGTCAGTTTTAGCCTGAAATTTCGCTAGCATTTCTCCCATTCAGTGGTCCACCTGGTCAAGCTCACACCTCGGACCTCAGATTGATCCTCTTTATAAAGTCCCACTACCAACGCCAATAATCATTATACCTTTACAATCCACTACCAACAACCAGCCCTCTGCTCCTTCCTCTTCCCACTTCGCTGACTCCTTCCCACACAAAATGTCGACTCCGATTGCTACCACTGCCGTCCCACCCGTGGCGACCAACACGACCGTGTCGACACCCGTCAAGAGGCAGGGCTTCTTCGGCCGCCTCAAGGCCCGCATGAACCACGGACCGATCCTCGCCATCCGCCGCGTGGTGTGGATCCTGCTCTCGGGCATCCCGCTCGCCCTGCTCTTCGTCATGTCGGCCATCGCCTTCGCCGTGACCATCATCGGCCTCCCGGTGGCGTGGGAGCTGCTCAAGGTGGCGCGCTACGCCTTCTGCCCGATCGGATACAAGGCCGTGCCGGCGTCGGGCCGCGGCAAGAACCCGCTGCGCAACCCCAAGTCGCCGCTCACCGTGGCGGCCAACGTGATCTGGGCGCTCTTCTTCGGCATCCCGATCTCGGTCATGCTGCTGGGCATGTGCATCGTGCAGGCCCTCACCATCATCGGCATCCCGTCGGCGCTCAACTTCCCCAAGATGGCCATCTTCGCCCTGTGGCCCATCGGCAAGAAGATCGTGAGCGCCGAGAAGTACAAGGCCGCCAAGACCGCCCGCCGCGACCTCGCCACCGCCGAGGCCGTGAGGAGGAACGAGGCAGCCGCCGTCGCCGCCACCACTCCCGTCGAGATGGTGTAAAGTCACAGACCTCAGTACCATTTTTAGAACATATGTTCTCTTTTCAATATAGATATTCTGTCCTTCACACCACAACACAAGTTTCGAATGTTGGCTTCTCTTCCCTTTGAAAAGTGAATCACTAATACAAAAATAATTTGTATTTCCTCACCGCGTGGGAAGATGTTGGAGGCAGCATTTCGCACAAAGAACTTGAACAAGACTCCTCCATCCAACTTGGAGGGGCAGCACGGTGAAGAGCAGGAACCGGACGGAGCTGTCCTCTACCAGCGCCTCTGCCGCCTCCTCCAACGACACCAAAATCTGTAACCGCCCCCCCCCCCGCTTTACACTTTATCTTTTATTTTACGTATTTTCTGGAGTGGCACTCACGTTTCAATTTTTAAATAATAACCAATAATTTGATATTAATAATTGCAGTAAAGAGCTCGGGTTCGTGCCGTATGCCGACGCCGGAGCCTACGGTGGCAGTACGGACAATGGCGACGATGAGCCATCCGACGGCGAGCTGGGCCGTCCGTTCTTCGCGTGGGAGGGAAGCCTGGGCATGGCCTTCTGGGCTCTTCCCCCGCTCTACCAATACGCATGGACCACCCTCATTCCTCTCCTCCGCATTCCTCAGCCACAGCAACAGCTGGTGCGTGGCTGTTGTTTTGCGTGTGCCGTGCGTGCGTGTGTGTATGTCGTGCGTGTGTCGTGCGTGAAGGCTGACCTATTGGAACCATCCACCTAGGATTGGGGCCAGCAAGTGAACGACCTTTCAAGGGTGGTGCTGCTCATCAACGCCGACAACTACACGGCGTGGAATGTGCGCAAGCGGCTCATCACAGAGACACACTCGTCCATTGAGCAGGAATTTAAGTGCGTTTGACCAGACCACGCCACCGACACGTTGTAATCACACGCTTACTTATGGTGTGGCGTCGCCATGTTGATTACCAGGTTGGTGAACCTCGTTATGTCTAAACATCCTAAGAGCGGAGAGACCTGGGCGCACCGTCGGTGGCTTCTGCATAATCTCGCCAGCCACACCGACGGGCCTATGTCGCAGGTTCGGCGGTCTGTTCTTTACGCACATGCACACCGCACACGATACACGCACGACACACCACACACACACCGCTAACCACCACACGCACACACGCTTCCGCGTCTGATGTCTGCTTTTTGCCATTTGCCAGGAGGTGATTCAGGGCGACCTGGATGCTTGTCTTTCCGTGGCGCAACAATACCCCAAGAACTACCACGCGTGGACGCACCGCCTGTTGCTCACCCACACGTGCGCACCTCCTATCTTGCCCTAATCCTATCGCCCGCATCCAACTGACGGCTCTGTCTGGTGCTCCGGTACCGCCAGCATGGGCCTGGAGCAGGTGACCAAGGAGCTGCGACACCTGGAGACCTGGGGGAGGCGCTATGTGGGCGACCACTCCGGGTGGCACCACCGACAGGTACTCTACACTACTACTACGGGCGTTCACTCTTCTCGGTAGTTGCCCTGACTGGTCGCCGCATTGCGACACACATCGCGTCGCGTGGCACAGGCGCTTCTTCTGCGAGCTCTGCATGTGAGCGGATTTGTGGATGCGACTTCATCGGTCTATCGACCCGACCCGCAGCTCTACGCCAAACCCGACACACCCGCTCCACATTCATCGTACACTCCTCCTTCCCGCTGCTGTGTGCGGTCGTTGGTACTTTGATCAAGAATGAGCTCACCCTGCAAGTGACTACTGCGCAGGAGGGAGGAGGTGATCGGCCTGTGGCGCCGAGAGTTCTGGCTGTGCCGAAAGCTGATCGTGGTCTACCCGGGCCATGAGGCCCTTTGGTTCCACCGCCGCTTCGTCATGGACCACTGGATCAAGTACCTCCTGCCCCACTCGTCGGCCCTGACCGCCACCTTCTACGATCATCATCAACATCAAGAAGATGGTGACGGAGACGAAGAGGATGAGATCGGGTTCAGACCCGACGAGCGGGGCGAAGACGAGGAGGTGGTGTTGAGCCGCGAGGCGCGGTTCATCGAGCGGTGCTGCACAGACGACACACAGGAGCGATTCGAGGCACAGCGCGAGGCCGGCCGGGCCTATCTCGCCTGGCTGCTACACTTTGTGCTGCCCCACGATCGCCGCCTGGTGGTGGCGGGGCACGAAGAAGAAGCCCTGGACCCCACGCTCGGCCCGCGTCGTCGACATGCCTCGAATTCCTAGGAATAGGCCAAGTTTTCAGCATTCCTTGCTTTCCTTGCTGTCCCTTGCAGTGCCGCTTGGCCTTCCACAAGAGAACAAAAGGAGGGGTCAGGGTGAGAGTAGTCTGAATTGAGTTGCCTGTCGATGACGGCTTTGTGTATTGAACTGATAGTTGCTAGCCACCCGGGTCGTTTCACCAGGCGCGGGGCGGAGTGTGTGGTGTGGGCATCGCGCAGGTCGCCCTGCGGTCGTGTGCCAGCTCTCCGGTCCCTAAAGCGCGCGAGTGTCGTTTCTGGTCCCCGAGCTCCCTCTTGAGAGGGACTCCCGCTTAGAGATTGTCGGCTTCCTCAGACCTTCCCAAGTGCACTGATTGAGGTACCACCGCCGCTCTTGAAGAGGACGGTGGGCGTATGTTTGCACCTAACACAAGCTTCACCCTGACCCCGAACCACAACCCTGTCGTTGGCGCCTTTTTCTTCACCTCGCGCAGCCCGCACATACTATTGTGGGACACAGTCTGGATATCAATATAATATTATATTGTTGTGGTGAATAAGTTTCATCAACTTCACATTGGCATGTAGTGTGCCGTGAGGAACAGGTTGGAGCGACCACCAGCACCTCGTGGTGGCCATAGTAGAAAGAATTTCTTCATGATTTCTTGTGCCGCTGGAAAAAGAAATGAACGGAGAAAATGAACAATAAACGGCGCAGCTCCGCGTGAGTTCTTGTCTGCACGCACGACTGAAGAGATGGAGAGACGAGGCGGCCGTGGTGGCAGTCGAGGCGGTGGCAGAGGTGGGAGGGGCGGCGGTAGAGGTGGTCGAGGTGGGTTTGGTGGTCGAGGCGGAGGCAGAGGCGGCCGTGGCGGAGGCAGGGGAGGCGCGTACCGGCAGCGGATGGAGCGGCTGGAGAAGAACAAGGAGAGCCTGCAGCTGCCGGAGTCCCTTCAAAACGAGATCCAAAGAAAGGATGAAGATAAAGAAGGACAATTCAACGGTACGCAGATTTAATCTCATCTAATTCCGGAAATGTAAATTAAATATATAATATTATATTATATATGATGATTTAATGCAACATTATTTCTTCGTTCTCGTAATCTCTTCCTTTTCTAAATGTTATTTGTTTTGTTTTTATTTTTATGTGGCGTGCAGATGGCAAGCCCAAGATGGCCAGGCGGCGACCGGGGCTGCCGCGCAAAGAGCAGCGGAAGAAGGAAAGGGAGGCCCAGAAGCGCCAGCGCATCGAACTCCACGAGCGCAAGGTCACCGTACGGTGCTCCTCCTCCTCTTTCTTTTGTCCTCAACTCGTGGTGCGTGCTTCTCACCACACACACGCACACACACACACACAACGTAGATGAAGAAGGAGGCGCAGCTCAAGCGGGACGATACCAGCAATAGCAACGCCAACAAGAAGCGCAAGCGCGACGATTCGTCGGCGCGTGAAGCTCCTGCGGCGAACCGGCAGAGCCCGAGTGCCAAGAAGCAAAAGTCCAATGGCGGCGACAAGCAGGCCCAGCCGAGCAGCAAGAAGAAGACGCCGCAGAGGGAACCGAAGGCGAAGGTCAAGGAAGCGGCGACGCAGAAGAAGAAGGAGGTGACGAAGAAGAAGAAGGAGGCGGAGGTGTTGCCCTTCACGATGAAGCGTGACCAGGAGGATGAGGATCTGGCCTATCTCGAGGCCAAGCTGGGTCTCACCAAGAGCGGCGCCAAGAAGCGTCTCGTAAGCGAACTTGCCGACGATGGACTGGGCGGTACGCTTTTCGTGCTGCGTGTGCGGGCGTGCGTGTGCGATGACGTGTGTATGCGGTCGTGTGCGTGCGGTGGGCGGTGACTAACGTTCGTTCGATGGACGCCATTGCCTGCAGAGCTGCTGGAGGGCCTTTCCGATATGGACTCTGACGATTTCAGCGAGGACGACATGGCCATGTACAGGGACAAGGACATGGACGCCAGTGGCGACGACGACGATGTTGATGACGAGGACGAAGATGAAGAAGATGAAAACGAGGACGGCATTGAAGATGATGAGGATGATGATATTGAAGAGGACGGCGATGAGGGTGATGATAATGTTGATGAAGACGGCCAAGGTGAAGAGGAAGAGGAGGAGGCCGAGGAGCTTGATGAGGAGATCGACGAGCTGCAGGCCAAGCTCGAAGCGCTCAAGCAAAAGAAGGCCCAGCAGGCCGAGGAAAAAAAGAAGCTCGAGAAGCAGGTGGCCCAGCAGGACGGTAAGAAGCAGAAGGAAAAGGTCAAGGAAAATGGTCAGAATGCTGACATCACCACTGCCAAGACCGACGTCCAGCCCGCCACAGGTGCGCTGCCTCTCTCCATCACCGAGCTGTGTGCATCGGAGCTGACACGACACGACACCGTACACATGGACCGCACACATGGCACGCACCGCGCACACCGCACACGCACATGGACAGCTGCGGGCAAGTATGTGCCGCCGTCAATGCGCCAATCGAGCGAGGAGGAACGACTCAACCGGCAGGTGCGCGGTCTGCTCAACCGATTGACCCAGTCCAACCTCCACTCCGTCGGGACGCAGCTCCTCACCATCTACGACGACAACTCTGACATTCGTGCGCTCCTCCTTGTCTCGACGACACCGCACACACGACATGACGTCTCACTTTTCTCATCGTGAATGGTGTCGACAGTGGTGAACGAGGCGCTGTGTGCGACTCTGTTGAGCGACCTGGAGGGAATGCGGAAGGGCAGCTCGGCGTTTGTGCTCACCTACGCCGGCCTCGTGCTCTTCTTGCACGCCCAGCTCGGCACACAGATCGGTACGCGTCCCATTCTCAGCGCCCATGGGCACACACACACACACACACGACTCACTCCACATCGCACGTCAAGGTGGTTTCGTGGTGGAACGCGTTGCCAAGGCCTTCGAGGAGAGCCACGAGGACAGCAACTCCGAGGCTTGCTCCAACCACGTACGCTCTTCGATGCACAACAACGTTCATGTCGACATGCCGCCTATTCGCTGCGACTGAATCTTCTTCGTCCCAGGTGCTAATGCTGTGCCACCTGTGCGGCTTCGGCGTGGTGAGCGTGGGCCTCATTTTCGATTTAATGAAGCGCCTCCTCGACTCCTTCACTCCGCTCGACATCGAACTCCTCCTCGCCATTCTCACTCGTACGCTCTCACTCTTCTCTTGGCACACACCGCACACGCACTCATATGAATGAATGCTATGAATGTGGTGACAGACTGTGGGTCGCAGCTGCGACATGATGATCCGGCGGCGCTGAAGGAGGTGATCATGAAGGTGCAGACGAACGCTCTCCAGCTGAAGACCGCCGACGCCGGGGACGCCGACAAGGACGCGTCGAGCGGCTCGGCCAAGGCGGCCAAGACCACGACCGCAACGGCCGCCCAGAACAAGAGCCTCGAGGGCCTCCCGCCTCGCGTGCGCTTCATGCTCGAGACCATCTACGACCTCAAGAACAACAAAACCAAGTAATTAGTTCCTTCCTCATTTTTATATTTACATTTTACTACAAAAACTAACTAATTTCTTATCTAGGCAGGCGAGCGACGCCAACACGGCGCAGGTGAGCCAGATGAAGACGATGGTGAAGAAGCTTCTCAAGGGCAAGAACGAGGGCCAGGAGCTGCGTACGACGTGGAACGCGCTCCTCACTGGCAAGGGCCGCTGGTGGCTCGTCGGCTCGGCCTTTGCCGAGGTCCACTTTGACAAGCGGCCCATGAAGGGCGGCAGCAGCAGCGCCGGCGATGGCGACGGCGACGAGGTCGACGAGGCGCTCGAGGGCTACGACAGCGAGATCGTGAAGCTGGCGAGCCAGCAGCGCATGACGACGCCCGTCAAGAAGGCCGTCTTCTGCATCCTCATGTCGTCGGAGGACTACCTCGACGCCTTCGAGAAGCTTCTCCGCCTCAACCTCAAGAACAAGCAGGACCGCGAGATCATCCACGTTCTCGTACATCATTTCCTTCTTTTTCTTTCTTTCTTTCTCACACACACGCACACACCGCACACGCTAATCGCACACACCGCACACGTACAGATGCATTGCTGCGCGCAGGAGAGGGTGTTTAATCCGTTCTACGCGCATCTGGCGGCCAAGCTGTGCTCGTTCGACTACAACTACAAGTTCACCCTCCAGTACGCGTTCTGGGACAAGTTCAAGCAGCTGCCCAGCCTCCCCGTCCGCACCATCTCCAACCTCGGCATCCTCCTCGCCCACCTCATCGCCAACTTCTCCCTCTCCCTCTCCGTTCTCAAGGTACGCGACCGCACACGCACCACCGTACACGCACCACCGCACGCACCACCGCACACGCCTACACGCACACGTACGAACACGACCGCACACGCTAACGCACACGCGTGATGAAGGCGGTGGAGTTCTCGGAGCAGATGGAGGCGCATACGACGCTGTTCCTGACGTTGGTGGTGAAGACGCTGCTGACGCAGTTCGGGGAGGAGGTGACGACGAAGCTGTTCGAGCGCATCACCGGCACCAAGGAGCTGTTCACCTTCCGCGAGCAGCTGCTCCTCTTCCTCCAGACCCTCTACGCGCGCGAGAAGAAGAAGAAGGACGCCAGCCCCGAGAGCCGCCAGGAGTGGCCGCTGCTGGCCGAGCGGCTCAAGGCCGCCAAGCAGCTCTTGAAACGCAGCACTGACATTCTTTTCGAATAATGTTTTTTTCTTTTAAAAAATGAAGTTCAAAAAGGGGCAAGTGTGAGAAACCTGGGCCAGCGGCTGTTTGTTTTTCAGAGGCACACGTACAGGGCGATGGGCAAACTTCGCTGGGAGGCAAGCTGGAGAACATAAAAGCATAAAAAAGCGCAGTGGGAGGGCCAATCCTTCTTACCACACGCACCAGCGAAATGAAGTTTGCGGTTGGTGCCCTTCTTGTTTGCAGCCTTGTGGCGACCCTGGTCAACTCTCAGACGCCCACCTCGCCATCCACAAGGTTCCTCCAGCCATCCTTTAGTTTCCTTCAGTTGAGGAACTCACTACTCCCTGGGAGTAGTGCGGTGAACGCCACGCAGTTGTGTGCTTCGTTCAGCAATGTGAGCAACACCCTCGATTCTCTGCTCTATGAGTCGGGCGGTCTAGGGGCCGTGCTGGACGCGGAGACCAGGATTGATTGGGCCGAAGTGCAGACCTTCTTAGCCCCAAACTTCCACTGGGAGGACTACAGCACGGTAAGCTCTTCCAACAACAGAATGGTTCTTTCTAGTTGCGAACCTGACCACTTGTTCGGTGGAACAGTTCCCGTCATTTGGCAACTACACCAGTTACCAGGAGTACTGGCGAGCCCTCAACCGCAACAACCAGACCTTCCCTTTGATCGAAGCAGCCACGCTCCAATGGCGCTCCTGCGATCCGGTCAACAGGCGCCAGATCTCACAGTGGCAGGAGCCCTACGCTTTGGCGAACGACACCAGCGTGAGAGAGAACAGCACGTCCCTCTACATCGTTGAATTCGCCAACGACAGCCTGGCCATCACCCGGCAGGCCTACTGGACCTCTGGCAACCTCGTCAACCTCACCTTGAGGGCCGTGTAAAGAGGCACCTTTCAATGCACCACTCTCCCTGCGGCAAGAGGGTACAAGGTCGGGAAGGTGGTGCTCAAGTAGGAGGGGACAGTTGAAGGTCACCTTCGCCTCCAGTCAGTTCCGAGTAAGCTGAACAGCCCCCCCCCTTCGCACTTTTTCCCGTGTCTGTGGGCATCACGCCGGGTGTCCGCAGACCACTTGAGCCACTGTGTCCCGCTATGCAAACCTCAACTCGAGTGGATAATGCAGGAGCAGGCGGAGTGCACAACAACAGCAAAAGCGGCGGCTGGTGAGGCCTTCCTGGAGGCGGTGGCCGCTGGCGACGTGCTGCGCGTGCGGCAGCTCTTGCGCGAGCACCCGCCCAACCACGTGGTCGATGCTGTAGACCACCTTGGATGGTGCTCCCCCCCACTGCTCTATTCGAAACCACACCTCCCTTTTATTATAAAATAATTATTCTATATTGGGGGGGCAGGACGGGGCTGATGGTGGCGGTGGAGGCGCGCCACGTGGAGATGGTGGAGCTGCTGCTGGCCAGCGGAGCCGACCCGCACCACCGGTCGAGCGTCGACGGCATGCACGCCCTCCACGTCCTCGCCGAACAGAGCCAACGCCGCGTCTGCCGCGTACCTACCCCTAACCCCCCCCCGCTTGACCCTGTTCGACGTCGGTCTAGTTCATGTCCTCACACACGTGGCACTTGGCGAAGGCCGCAGAAAGAGTGCTGCTGCAGGCCTTGCTCGACGCCGGCGTCGATCCCAACGTGCCCACCACATCCAGCGGCGAGGTACACGCTGCGCTGCTGCTCGATTGTGTCAACTCACTGTTTGCAGTCGGCTAACATTGCCTCCGCCAGACGGTGGTGCACCTGATGTGCCTGCGAGGCAACATCGAGGGCGTGCGCGAGCTGCTCGCCCGGCGCCTGGTGGTCGACATCGACGCGCGCAACGCCCACGGCGACACCGCCCTCCACTACGGTACCCCCCCCCCGCATCACACTCGCGGTCTTCCTGGCCGCAGCCATTCTCATGTTCGCGGCCTCTGCATTCTCGGCAGCGGCGCGCAGAGGCCACGACGAGGTGGCGCGGCTGCTGGTGGCCCACGGCGCGTCGCGCGCGGTCGAAGGTCGCTTTGGCACGTCGGCCCAGGCGGCGATCGAGTTCGGACAGCACCACATCGTCCAACGGCTCCGCGCACTGGCGCTCCGCAACGAAGACGCTCAACAACTGGTCCTCAGTCGTCTGCCACCAGTACGCGTTGTTGTTATCGCCACCACACCATCGTCAACATGTGTTCGTTAGTCGATGCACCATAGCGATTCTTGCTGCTGCTGATGATGATGATGATGACGATTGAGAACAGGAGGTGGTGGTGCACGTGCTGTCGTTCGTGGCCAACGCGGACGATCTCTGTTCCCTTTCCATGGTGCCCGACGACATCCCATTACGCCCCTTAGCCAATGTTGGAAGTGTACACTTACTAACGGAAATGGTGCGGTGCTGTGGGGAACACTCGCGTCTCAGGCGAGCAGAGCGTTGGCTGCGGTGAGCCGGGACGACGCCCTGTGGAAGCCGCTCGGTCATCCATCGTGGGCCGACCACCACGCCCTCAGGTCGGTTGGCTCTTTTTACTCCCACGCATCGGTGGTGCTCACCGGTACCGGGTGCAGGGAGGGCAGCGCCTGGAAGGGTGCCTACATGCTGTGGCTACGCGCCGCCGTTTCGCAGTTCAGGCACGTGAATACACGCGACACGAGACACGCGACACGCGACACACACAGAGAGGCTTACCCACGCCCTTAGGAAACGCAACACCCACTCTCTCCCACGCAATCCAGCAACAACTGGCGTATACTCTGCCCAAGTGCTCATGCAAGGGGACTTGTACGTTTCCCCAACCATGTGGTGGTGAGTGGTTGGTGGTGTGTGTGTGTGTGTGTGCTAGATAATAACCCCCCCACAAGTGGAGTGGGCAAATCGGCAATCCTACGCCGCTACGTCCAAGGAGCATTCGAAGTGGCGCGTACGCCTTCTGTCACGCAATTCGAGCGCCGCCATGTGGAGTGGCACGACAATCGAATTGAGGTGCGTCTGCGCAAAATATCCGCATCGCATACGCTCACACCACACCACACTCACACCACACCACACTCACACCACATACTCACACTGGGCACTCACACCGCGTCCACGCGTATGATTAGTTGCACTTGTGGGACCCGAGCGGGCGCGAGCGGTTCAGATCGATCTCGCCGATCGTTTTCCACAACGCGCACGGCGCGGTGGTAGTCTACGACATCGCCGACAGGTCGACCTTCGACTGCGTCACACTTTGGATGGAGGAGATACGCAGGTACCCACAGACACACACACACACACACACACACTCTTTACAACTCAACGCAACACCAGGAAGGGCCCGGAAGGAATGGCCGTGGTGCTGGCGGGCAACAAGGCCGACCTGGCCTCCACAAAACGCGCCGTGACCGAACGCGAGGGCAGGTAGTGGCGCATAAGAACCATTTATTGATCTTTTTATACATTTATATATTATCTGTTGTTAATTAATTCTTGTTTCCTTTACTACGCAATGACATGACAGGCAGAAGGCGGAGGAGTTGAGCGTGGTTCTGCGAGTGCTCGGCCAAGACGGGCGAGGGCGTGGCCCACGTGTTCGACCTCCTCGCCGATCGCCTGCTGATGAGCGGCTGGCAGCGCGTGGCCCACATGGCCACACCGGCACACGTGCCCAGCGAATACATCCTCGCCCGGCTCTTCCCACACGTCGTCACGCCATCTGGTCCACCAGCACCACCCACCACCAGCAGCGATCCCAACCAAACACCAATAAAACAGTAAAGAACGAAGAGGCCTTCTGTTTGGCCCCAATCGCCATTCAAGGAATTATTTTAGCATGCTGACGGACCAAACAGAACTGGCCAAGACGAAGGACAGCAGAAGACGAAGGCAGTATGCAGGAGCAGGAGGAGTGCACAACAGCAGCAGAAGCGGCGGCGGCTGGTGAGGCCTTCGTGGAGGCGGTGGCCGCTGGCGACGTGCTACGCGTGCGGCAGCTCTTGCGCGAGCACCCGCCACACCACCACCACCACCACACGATCAACGCTGTCGACCACCTTGGCTGGTGCCCCCCCGCCCGCGTTCCTTTTATTCATTTACTTATTTTTCTTTTTACTGTATTTCGAACAAATATCCGAAATACATACGATTTTCTCAATTCATGGGGTGGGGGCAGGACGGGGCTGATGGTGGCGGTGGAGGCGCGTCACGTGGAGATGGTGGAGCTGCTGCTGGCCAGCGGAGCCGACCCGCACCACCGGTCGAGCGTCGATGGCATGCACGCCCTCCACGTGCTCGCCGAACAGGGCCAACGCGACTTCTGCCTGGTGCCAACCTACCCCTTTCACACCCCGCCCCGGCTCGTTCAGTTCGTGTCGTGTCGTGTCGTGTGTGGTGAACCTCGGCACACGCATTCATGAGTTACATTCCCCCCCCCCCAGGAGCAGAAGAAGCCGGCGGGCAGACTGCTGCTGCAAGTCCTGCTCGAGGCGGGCGTCGATCCCAACGTGCCCACCTCGTCCAGCGGCGAGGTGTGTGCTGCCACTCGCTTGTGTGGTGATCACTCACTCTGATTGCGCCCTGTTCAACTAATATTGTGGGGCATCACCAGACGGTGTTGCACCTGATGTGCCTGCGGGGCAACATCGAGGGCGTGCGCGAGCTCCTCGCCCGGCGCCTGGTGGTCGACATCGACGCGCGCAACGCCCACGGCGACACCGCCCTCCACTACGGTACCCATCCCCCCGCACGGCAGTCTGGCTGCAGCCGTGAGGGAAATGAGCTCACGTTCTCGGCAGCGGCGCGCAAGGGTCACGACGAGATGGTGCGGCTGCTGGTGGCCCACGGCGCGTCGCCCGCGATCGAGGGTCGCTTCGGCACTCCGGCCCAGGCGGCAATCGAGTTCGGTCAGCACCACATCGCTGAACTGCTCCGGAGCCTGGCGCGCCCCACCGAAGACGGCGCTCAACGACTGGGCCTGCACAGTCTGCCTCCGGTACGCGTCGTTGTTGTTGTCAACCCCACCACCCCCCACCACACCATCGCCCCCACCGCGATACATACATGCTTGTTACAACAACAGGAGGTGGTGGTGTACATGCTGTCGTTCGTGGCCAACGCGCACGATCTCTGTTCCCTTTCCATGGTGCCCGACGATATCCCATCGCACCCATTGAACAATCGGGAGAAGTGCACACGGCTAACATTCCCCGACAGGTGAGCCGAGCGTTGGCGGCGGTGAGCCGGGACGATGTCCTGTGGAAGCCACTCGGTCACCCATCGTGGGCCGATCACCACATTCTCAGGTTGGTTGGCCCAGGCAATACCAAACATGATGTCCCACACACACCCTCAGGAAAGGATACCAAACAACACCAAGCAGCGAAGGGGACGGATGGAAGGCGGCGTACATGACGTGGCTGCGCGCTGCCGTCTCGCAGTTCAGGCACGTTCTAGGACACACGACGACACGACATGACACAAACGCCACACGCGAGTGAGCGCAGGCTCACCCACGACTACAGGAAACGCGATACCCACACTCTCCCACCCAATCCATCAGCACCTGGCGAATACCAGGTCAAAGTGGTCATGCAAGGCGACTCGTACGGCATTTTCCTCACTTCTACCCCATCTCCCGGCTAGCCACGACACACACACGCATCACCGCGCACCCCACTATCGCACACGCACACTCACACTCACATGCAACACTCAAACCGCACACGCACAGTGGCACAGGAAAATCGGCAATCCTACGCCGCTACGCGCATGACCAGTTTGAAGTCTATCCTTCCCCAACCATCGGCGCGGAGTACGAGCGCCGCTGTGTGGAGTGGCAGGACAAGAGGATCCAGGTGTGCGTCTACGCACCACATTTGAATGACACGCGCTCACACACAACCGCTCACACCACCGCACACGCACGACCGATTGTGTGGTCAGTTGCAATTGTGGGACTCGAGCGGACCCGAGCGGTACAGGTCGCTGGCGTACCTCCGTGGCATGCATGGCGTGGTGGTGGTCTACGACATCGCCAACAGGGCGACCTTTGACAACGTCACGGCTTGGGTGGAGGAAATGCAAAAGTACGCTCTCATCGCCAATGAAAATAGCAGGCGGGATTGGTGCAACACAAACACGCAACACCAGGTACGGACAGGAAGGCTTGGTCGTGGTGGTGGCGGGCAACAAGACCGACCTGGCCTCCTCGACCAGACGCGCTGTGACCAAGCTCGAGGGCAGGTACTACTTGACATGTCACCAAAAGGTTCCTTTCGTTCACACACACAGCACACGACTATGACACAGGCGGAAGGCGGAGGAGCTGGGCGTGCTGTTCTGCGAGTGCTCGGCCAAGACGGGCAAGGGCGTGGCTGATGTGTTCGACCTCCTCGTGGATGGCCTGATGGGCGGCTGGCAGCGCGTGGCCCACATGGCCACTCCGGCGCACGTGCCCAGCGAAGCCCTCCTCGCCCAGCTCTTTCCACACGCCACCGCCACCGCCACCAATAGCAGCGCAGGCGCCAGCGAGCAGCAGCAGCAACCAAGGTGTGCCCTCCAGTGAGTGCTTGGCCTGGAGACATGGCGTTGCGGGAGGGAAGGAGCGAGAGAACAAGAACGAAATCGATCGGGAGATGTACAGCTTTCAGGTCGCCAGGTCTGGTGCTGATGTGTGGACCCGATCAGTTCAGATCGAGCAACGGCTACCGGTAGTCGCTCATGAGCGGCTGGCAGCGGGCCACACCGGAACACGTGCCCAGCGAATACCTCCTCGTCCGGCTCTTCCCACTCGTCCCCACGCCATCTGGTCCACCAGCACCACCCACCACCAGCAGGGACCCAAACACCGTTATAAAAAAGTTCCGGAGAAACTAAGGCGGGCTTCTGTTTGGCCCAATCGCCGTTCAAGGAATTAGTTTCTCTGCTCAGCCACACCAAGCAAAACCGGGCACGTCCGGCACAAGACGAAGGGCAATATGGAGGAGGAGCACTCAACAGCAGAAGCGGCGGCGGCTGGTGAGGCCTTCCTGGAGGCGGTGGCCGCTGGCGACGTGCCGCGTGTGCGGCAGCTCTTGCACGAGCACCCGCCACCCCACCACCACCACACGATCAACGCTGTCGACCACCTTGGCTGGTGCCCCCCGCGTTCATTTTATTCATTTATTTATTTTTCTTTTTACTGATTTCGAACAAATATCCGAAATAAATACGAATTATCTCAATTAT